TCGCGATCTGCTCGACCTTTCCTTCACATACCCCCAATACCCGCGAATCAACTCGAGTTTCGGACCTCCGATGGTCACATAGCAGGAATGTCGGTGATCCACCTTGGCTTCCTGGGGACGAGACGCACTGCGCTGGTGTCGGCTGACAAGCGAGGAATGGCCTTCTCGCATCTGGCCACTCGCGGCATGGGCGCAGTAGGTCGAACGGTGAAGACAACACGAATCCTGGGCCGGTATCCCGAAGTCGTCGCCGAGGGTCACCGCACACGGAGACCGAGCTCCGTCCTCGCCTTTTCGCCTCTCCCTCTTGGTAACGTCGAACAGCCAACCGATTCGCTGGGTCTGGTCGCTATGCTGACGCCCTACCTCCTCGTGATTGTCTCCACGACGCCCGTAGCGCAGACGCAATACAAGTCACCGCGCCCGAAAGAGGTTGCCGCCCACGGTGCGATGACGGGCGCGCTGGCCTGGTTTCCAGCAATTAAGTTGAAAGGCAGAGACTCTGAGACTTCAAAGACGAAGCTTGTTTATTGTTGGTCCAACGTGCTGACAGTCCTGGATGTCGATGAGATGGAGACGGATGAACCGCCAAGTGGAGATAGACCCCCTGCTCTGGAATTCACACCACGAAGCCGATGGAAGGCCGAAGAGGCAATCGTTGCCGTGCAGTGGCTGAGTCGCTCAGTACTGGCGGTGCTCACAATCACTCAGCAGCTGCTGATTCTTGAGGACCATTCTATGCGCGTGACCGACGCCGTGGATTTGCTGAATCGGCACATATACCATGTCGACCTTTTCTCCTCGCAGCTGCATTCCTTAGTCGAGCAACTGAATGAGGAAGATACGTCAATGCATGGCGTTGTCGCTGATGCTTTTTACATGAGTTTCCGCTCGTACAAAGGACGTCTCTTCTTGATGGGCTTCAATGAAGCACTGGTCGGAAGTCTTTCCAACTGGGCGGATCGGCTCTTTGCACTCATGGAGGCCGGTGATTTTATTGGTGCCATCCAATTGGCGACATCATACTATAGGGGTAGTTCCGAGAAATTGACCGTAGGGCTGCCGGAAGAGGATGCGCTGAGGCAACCTATTGTTCGCGAAAAACTGTTGGAGATCGTATTGGCCTCGTTGAAGTTTGCTTTTGGCCGCAACGCAGAAGCCAACAATGAGCGCCTCGAAAGCCGTCAGCTTGAGGAGCTGGCCGAGGTTTCGATATCCGCCTGTGTTAGTATGGCGGAGGACGAGTTTCTCTGGGACGAGGTTTTCAATTGGTACGAGGAGCATGATTCGCAAGGTGTCTTCCTCGATGCTCTTGAGCCTTATATCGTGGACGGAGCAGTGCGCTCCTTACCTCCAACTGCTGTCAAGGCTTTAATCAACCACTTCAGCACAAATCATTCGACCAGTCGATTGGAAGAGATCATCTGTCTACTCGATACCACGACGATGGACATTGACCAGGTCACAAATCTTTGCAAACACTATAATTTATACGACGCCTTTATATATGTATGGAACCGCTGCCTTGGTGACTACGTGGGCCCACTTGAGGAACTTATTGCACTCATCCCGTCGCAGACAGAACCCTTGGTCAACGGGGATTCGATGGATGAGCCCAATCAACATGCGAACGCTGCAAAGATGTTTCCATATCTCTCGTTTGTGCTCACAGGCCGCATCTATCCGACTGGTGAAGAGATGGACGATGCTGAGGCCACGAGAGCCAAGACAACATTGTACGACTACCTCTTCTCAGGGAACCAATCTGGCACTTCTCAAGCGATAGGAACGTTTCCGAGTTTGCATGCCATGTTGAAGTTTGACGCATCTAGTTTTATGAGCATGTTGAACGAGGCGTTTGAGGATAGTTTCCTGAACGACCAGGAGCCCGATGAGATCCCCGCGCAAGGAGTCTCCATCAACCGCCAATACCTGATCAGCATTCTGTTCCAGGTTATGACGCCTACTTCTTTCGATTCTTCAGATACCATCTACCTCGACATGTTCGTTGCGCGCAACCTGCCCAAATACCCTCAATATATCCTGCTGTCTGGCACTACGCTTCATCAAGTACTGGTGCGACTGTGTCGCTACCCGAGTGAGGAGATGGCGGACGACTGTGAGCTCAGTGCCGAATACCTACTGTCTATTTACCATCCTCCGGATATTCAGAACATGATCCCACTTTTTCGGGAAGCTCGCTTCTACCGAATCTTGAAATCCACATACCGCTCCGAGAAACAATTCCCCGAGTTGATACTCACTTATCTTGAGGACTCCAGCGAGCAGGAAGCGGTATTTACTTGTCTGCAGGACTGTCTCCGTCCCGGCTCCATATTGGGCAAAAAGCAAAGACGGGATGTCCTCGACGTGATCAAGAGACGTGCTGGACAACTGGCCGGCATTGATGTGAGAAAAGCCGCGCAGACAATGCAGGAATTCGCCCCCGAAACGCACGAGACATTCCTCAAGGCTCTGGAGGACGACAGTTACAAGCAGTATCAGTATCTGCTCGTTGTCGTGGAAAGCCCGACGCGGGATGTTGCGGAAGCAGGGGCTCCCCGAAACGTCGCAAACTGGATGATTGAGCGATATGTGCAGCTGCTCTGCAGGTACAACCCGTCGCACGTTGCGGAGTTTGTGGATGACTTGCGAACGGGCGATGTACATCTGGAGGAGTTGCTGCCTGCCATGGAAGAGAGCGGCGTGGTCGATGCGGCTGTCATTCTGCTCGTGAGACAAGGCCAGGTGCGAGCTGCAATGGACCGGCTCATCGCTCACTTGGGTGCACTGCAATCGGGTCTGGTGGGAATATTGCAGAGTGCGCGAGAGTCTCCCGACTCAGCCAGTACGGCGGAAGCGATCACCGATCTTCTTGTATCCTTGGACAAGTACGCGCATGTTGGCATCTGGTTGTGCCAAAGTCAAAGCCAGACAACCAAAACGTCGCGACCGGAGAGGAACGGCACTGGCAGCAAGGTCGCGTTGGACCAGCCTCTGTCGTTCAACGAGACCTTGTGGCTGGATCTCATTGAAGCAGTAGTTCGCATCGCGAGCAGTGTATTTGCTCTGGTGCGGGGACAGCAAGTTGACGACGACAAACTCACCCAGATGGCCCCTGAGACGTCTTCACCAGGGGACAATACCGCCCAACTCATGTCGTCCGTCCGCACTCTGGTTCAACAAGTATTTACTGCTCTTCTGTCCAGCACTGTCAAGCTAGGCGGAGCAACACCTAGTGCCGAGCGGACCGATGTAACCTTTCTCCGCATCCTACGTGCATTTCTCACTCGAGCTGCCAGCTGGTCACCGTCGCTTTTTGAGCTGCGTGCCGTCCTGGCGTCGGTCTTCTCCGCCTACACGTATGAAAAATCTCTACTGGCTCTGGCCAATGGCATGCTCGATCGAGACCTCTTTGTGCATGTGGAGGAGGTCACGGGGTTGCGTCAACGGGGATGGCGGCCGAGGGGGCAAGTGTGCGAGATCTGCCGGCAACGCATCTGGGGTCCCGGGGTGGGGTCGCAGTACTGGGAAGCATGGGAGAAAAGACAGGAAGAGGAGCGGCAACGACGGGCGATCAAACGGCTGGAAGGCAGATTTGATCCTGCAACTGCCAGGGGAAAGGGTAAAGCTGCTGCCGTGGGCGCAGTCGCTGGTCCGTCACTGCACTACAACGGGCATGTGGAACATGACCATCAACATCGGGAAGTTGTTGGACCACCTGAAACCGACGGGGCTTTCCACAATGCCGAAGAAAAGCGCATCGGCCCCGCCGTTGTATTTTCCTGCCGTCATTTGTACCACCATCAGTGTCTGGTGGACATGGCTCAGGCTGGACGGAGGAGTAAGCGGAACTCGGCCCATTTTGCGCCGGATGGAACAGGATTGGAGTTGTCATGTCCGACTTGTACATAAACAGGACTTGGAAGCCATCTAGTCATCATTCTTATAATCATAACTCCGTATGATGTAAAATATGCATCAGCCCTGCTTTGTCCCCCTTCCGCATTCTTGAGGCATGCCATGACTCAGCATATTTGACGGATGTCATAAGCTGGAAGAATGCCTCAGGGCTAATTTCGCAGCATAAGAGTCTATCAGCAGGCCGGGATTGTAACGCAACGGAAATAATGCAACAACATGGCGATAGTTGTATTGGTATGTTGACGCCAATGCAACATGGCCTCGTGCGCTGCGCGCGATCCAACCATGAAGAAACCGCAGTCGGCAGTTGGCTATATCCCGATGCATTATTGACATCAGATAGATGAGAATCTGCAGGGGACAGAGATGACATCGGAGTCATTTTCTTCACTAGAAGAATGGATCCATCCATTCACGTCTTGCCTGCTTATTCGACGTGACGAGTCGAGTGAAGTCACTAGACCCCTTTTCCAACGCTTGTTGATCCTGCATGGTTACCATTACATCCCGACTAACAAAGCTTAGAATGTGATTGATGCAAGCCGCTGTTTCACTTTATCCCAGTGACTACTGTTCCCGTCCAGTCAGATGCTGAAATCGATATTGACCAAGCCTTCTGACAAGAGGGCTCCGGGCTGAGTAGAGGCCCGCAAATTCCCCGTTTCATCATCTCTCGGTGAAGAGATGACTTAATTTGTACCTGGCTCCAAGTTGTCATGGCCACATGGCCTCTGCTACATCTCATTCTGACTCCAGAGCAGGTCTCAGGGCCGGGCCCGGTGCCGGTGGATGCATCATCTTCTTCATAGCGAGGCGCCACATTGTATTAGTGCATTAGTGCATTAAATGCAGAGCTTCGTTTTGCTCTGCTTACGAGCTGAGCTGACTGACATGCATGACATGTATATATTCAGATGGATCTGGACGAGCAGGATGCTTCTTTTCTCTTGTTGTTCGAATCACCACTCTCCTTCTCACTTGGCCTTGTGCTGTCGCTCCTTTTCCTACTGTGACCACGCTCATTGGAAAGACCAAACACTCCTTTGATTCCTGCTGGACAGCTGAATCAAGCCAAAATGTACATCCGGTCGACTCTCCTCCCCATCCTGGGCCTCTCGGCCACCGGCATGGCCGCCTACGTCCTCGAAGACGACTACGGCACCTCGACCTCCTTCTTCGACAAATTCTCCTTCTTCACTGACCCCGATCCAACCGGCGGCTTCGTCTCGTACGTCGACCGCAACACCGCGCAGAAAGCCGGCCTGATTTCTGCCAACGGCGCCGTCTACATGGGCGTGGACCATACCAACGTCGCCGGCAGCAGCGGCCGGCAGAGCGTCCGCCTCACCAGCACAAAGAGCTACACGCACGGCCTCGTCATCTTGGATCTGGCGCACATGCCAGGCGGTATCTGCGGCACCTGGCCTGCCTTGTACGTCCCCTCCCCTTAATCCCTCAGCATGAACCCAAGCTAAAGTTGCGCAGCTGGCTGCTCGGCCCCGACTGGCCCTCTCACGGCGAAATCGACATTATCGAGGGCGTCAACACCCAGTCCACCAACCAGATGACCCTCCACTCCACGGACGGCTGCTCCATCGCCAACGGCGGCTTCACCGGCACCCTGCTCACCAGCAACTGCTACGACTATGCCCCCGGCCAAGAAACCAACGCAGGCTGCAGCATCGCCGCCACCTCAAGCCTGACCTACGGGACGGGGTTCAACAACGCCGGCGGCGGCATCTACGCAACAGAGTGGACCTCCGCAGGTATCAGCATCTGGTTCTTCCCTCGCGGATCTACCCCCCTGGATATCCGAGCCGGCACACCCGACCCGACAAACTGGGGAACGCCGCTCGCCAAGTTTGCCCCGGGAAGCTGCGACTTTGATGCGCATTTTAGCGAGATGCAGCTTGTATGTCCTTTCCTTCCCCCAATTCCATTCCCCATTTATCCTTTTCATGGGTTTGCAGCGGGCTGACAGACGGAAAAGGTCTTCGATACGACGTTCTGCGGCGGCTGGGCAGGCGCTGTCTGGGGCTCCGGCAGCTGTGCGTCCGTGGAGTCCTCGTGCCAGGATTTCGTCGCGAATAACCCCTCTGTGTTCCAGGAGGCGTACTGGCTCATTAATTCGCTCAAGGTGTATCAGGATGCACCTGGGCGAGTAAGACGAGGATGAATGCCACTGACCATCTGCATGCGCAGTTGCCTTGGGAGGGTGGCAGGCGCAGACCTGGTCGGCATGGTCGTGGCCTTTGAGGGCGCTGGTAAGCGGTGAGAGTATATATGGTATATATATATTGGGGATGTTGTGTATATTGTATTTGAGTATACCCCTGTTTATATCTATAGTCTAGGTTATAGTTTGGAGGTGAGGTACATGTCTTCATCTTGCTGTGTACTTACATTGTTACATTTACATTTCGGTTCATATGCGAGAAGCTATCAGTTCATGTCTATTAGGGTATGTCATCAGTAGCCTGACATTATTTATACATTAGCTATGCCAATCATCATTCAAAGCAAAACATTAACAGCCGGTCATCAAATCTTAAATCCAAGCATATCTCTATTATCATCCGTCAGGCGGCCCCACTCCAATAGCAAACGGAAGAAGTAGATCTCCATGTCCTCCTTCCGCAGGGCCTTCTCGGCCCACTTGCGGCCCTCTTCGGCAATATACTTGCCTCGAGCATCGTGTCGCTGTATTATGTCTTTGGGCTGACCGTCGGGGTCTTCCGTGACTGGTACGTCGAGTTTGGAAAAGTACGCCAGGGTGCTCCAAACTCCGTGCAGACGGACATCAATAGGAACATAGTGGAGCCAGGGAGTAACCCGCCGGTCTAACCACTGTCGAAACAGGCCAGTCTTGAAGGGCAGACTGTGGCTCTGTAAAAACGGAAGGAATCGACCACTGAAGCCCGCGCCGTCTAGGTCAAACAGATACCGATACTTCCAGTGACTCTGGAAATCTACCGAGGACGCGGCGCCCAGCTCTTCCTTCTGCGCCTCGCAATCCGAGCCACATCGAACAGGATTCAGGATGTGAACAGTGGTGTTTAGTCCGAGGAGATTTGTCGGAGCTGAGCCGTCTAGGACCTCATACCGATAGCTGTCGGTACCTTCAACGGGCAGCAAGACCGATACGTGGCTCAGAGTATTGTTGTTGATTAGGTGCGCAAAACGTTGGCGAGGCATTCCCTTCCACTCCCCTGACCGGCTCACTCCCTCCGATGTGCTGCCAATCCAGAAAAGCGTATTCTCCTTCTCCTCGTACTCCTGGTCGGGATACTCATCAGACGGCTCGTACTTGATCTTATCCACATAGTTCCACGGGCTAGGAAACAGGATATCATTGAATCCAGACACCTTGCTCTGGCTGAAAACAGGCGTCAAGACTTGGGATACTTTGAAGGATGCGGGAGAAAGGAAAAACCCGTGAAGCCATGCAAGGTCTGGTTGATGGCATATGTCGCTCATGCTGTTCGCATCTAGGGGAAACTGGCCCATTGAATGCGGCCGCACACAGTCCAGGCACATATGACGCCGGTCCCAGATCCGTTTGGTCCGAGCTTTCGTCGACGGAGGACATAGCTGGCGGATATATCGGTCGAAAATAGGTTGCATGGAGCTATCTGTAAAAACTGTCTCGGTCGTTTGATCGGCTGGCTCTATAGGAGCCCATTGCATGCCACGGTCCGCCGACCATACTGTCAATACGCTGTTATCGGGAGCCGGGCCATGGGATTTTGCTTCCGTCCCCAATCTGGATGCCTCCTCCCAGGGAACGGCCACGCGTGGCTCGTCGTTTAGGTTGAAAGCCAGATCCATGTCGGGTAAATATTGAGCAAAATTTTCAATCATTTTGGCAGCACCCAGGACCATCCAGGCATGAGTTGGTTTGATCCCCTCTTGTACTCTAGGCGTGCCATTCCTAATGCTGATCGCCCCAATGTCGTTGAATGGGTTTGTGGCCAAGTCGCGCGTCAGGTCTCGGAGCCTAGCGGGAGACAATGCACGAAACGGGAGAAGATCCATATGGATTTGATCAAAGTCATCAATCACGACGGAAGACCTACTGGTGGCGTATTCGTACCATTTATCAAAGCCCCTATGTGACAGTCAGTTGATGGGCGCAATCTCATATCACTTCACGCTAATGGGCGGCTCACGGTGGAGGATGCTGATTGTATCGTTTGCGATAGTTCGCAACAGCATCGGCAAGAGTCTTGCTGCTTTTCGCCTGAGAAGACCACGCGCCGTGATGTTTTATGTTCTCATAGATCAACAGCTCGATAGTATGGAAGTTCGTTAACACCGGTTGACTGGCGACCAGGATGATGCCAATGCCAAAAAGTGTCGAGAACAACACTCGCATCACAATATTTGCTCTGTATAAGAAAGGCGGTTCTTCGTTGGATGCCGTCCGCCCACACAAGTACAACACACACCCAAGAGAGGTAGCAAGAAGGGAGGAGAAAGCATGTGACGGATAGATCAATGGAAAGGGCTCTTGTCCATCGAACAATGTACCGGCCAGCGAGAAGCAACCCACAACGAACCCAGCCAAAATGGAAATTCCGATTATGTCGTAAAACGGTATCTAGTACTGTTCAGTAGGATTCAAAGGGATGCATTTATGCCATAACTTACAAGCTGGGAAGCGGAAAGTACGAGGAGTGTCATCAGCAGACTTTGATTGAATGCGCTTGGCAAGTAATGAGAGATGACAAAGCCATCATTCTGATCTCTGGCCCGAATTGCGAGAATGATTGCGATTAACGTCCAAAAAGCAGCAACTCCCTATCAATTGCGTTAGACCACAACTCCATCCAGTGGACAGTACACTTACAATTAGGCCGAAACCGCACGAGACCAGAAAATGTTTATTTCTGCCTTCTTGAGGCTCAGTGCTTTCCTTAAACAGTTCACTCACACCAATCAAGATCGCCGAGTCAAGCAAGACACTCAAAATGCTGATGAACCGCAGCAAGGAATATTGACCCGAACTGATTGGACAGATATAAGTCGACTGTATGCCTTCTTGAAACTCCGATGCCACTAATCCCCCAATCATGAGAAAAGCAGCGGATATAACGTATCGCATTCGACTCTGGCAAAAAAGGGCGTGTAGCCGTCGAGCAGTGCTGACCAGTTTGCGAATCCGCGCATCGAGAGAGATTTCTGAATCGGCATCCGAGCCGTCTGGGATCGAACAAGGTCGTCGATTGCGCCAATAATCGTAGATTGAAACGAGGAGTGGTATCGCGTACTAGGGAAACGTAATACTTGGTCAAAAGGTGCCGCTGCATTTGCTCTTTCAAAGCCCACTTACTGCGTATCCAGCCGGCGCGCACTCAATCTTAACGGTCACTTGGCGATACAACTCTACCCTTATCCAGCCAAGCATCGAAATCAAGGCAATCTTGGTCCACCATTTCCGACTACCTGATTTTGTAAAGGAGAAATCACTGGTCGGACTTCTCGGCGTAAAAGGCGCATTTCCGGATGATTGATCAACGCGTTCGTCGAGAGGGATCGCAGCGTATTTGTGCTGAGGTTGGGGTATGCGTGGAATAGGAATATCGAATCTGCTTAAAATCAAGAGCGATACACCCGAAAGAAAGGACGCGAAGATGAGCGTATGGTGGGGCCGGTCTGTAAAAACGGTTGGTGAGCACCAGCTCTCAAATTGAAGTCCGCGCTGCCTTGGTCAAGGGGATTTGACTGCCCTTACCGAAAGCGAATGTCGTCGTGTAGGAAGTCGTTAAAAACATGCAACTCATAAGAAATACCCTGTGGACTCAGTCAAAACCAGTACATGACATGAGGCAATCCTGCAGCGATCTCCCTACCCCAATGAGGCTTTGAGCCCCGTCTCCGCGGAGAGCCGAATCATATTCAAGGATCCTGCTTGTTGATAGCCAGAAAAGCCGCTATTGAGCCATTGCCAATTATTTTATGTGAAAGCGCTCATCCTAATCGATACTGGATATAAAGTCGAAATAATTGGACAGCTTTGAACAGCTTTGGACGAATGCGACTGCAGGTTGAATTTCCAAATCTCGTGTCCTGTCGACGTTCCGAGGCGGGCAGAATAAGGATATTTCCAGTGCTGAGTAAGGTGACATGCGACAGGACACAATTACGAATAGAAGCAATGATCTCAAAACGAGGAGAACGTAGTAACGATGTAGATTGAGCTGTGACGGCAAGAACAGGGGTGGTGAAGAAAAAAAGGAAACGAATAAGGCTAGACCAGGGGATATTAATGGAAGGGTTGCGTCAACGAGTCATTCTGGACCCATGGGGAGTCGGCAGATAGTGGGCCGTTTAAGGAACTTTGCTGCGAGCCTGCGGAGCATTTTGATTGCGATAACCGACAGGCATTTGTTTATTCCTGTCTCCGCTGTTGGCACGTAGAGAGCAGCAGCTGGACTACTCCACGGATTGCCTGTGTAGTAATCTCCGATTGGCCTTGCGTTGTTGTTTGATGATCGACAGGAGACGGTGGACAAAGTCCATCAGTTCAGAGAGGAAATAATAACCTCGAATTCGGCACATTTGATGACACTAATCCTGGTCATTCGTCGGCTAAACCTGGTCAGTCTTGTTGCTTGTTGTTGTCCGTGCTAGCGCAGGGTCCAATCATTAGCAAGGAAGCGTAACTGACCTTGGAAACTTCGAACTTTATAGACATCGTCTTGTCCATGACAAAAAGTCACAGAATCTTCCATGGACGCTTTTCTTGATGGATGATATTGTCATATTGTCACGAACCGTGGGTGTCCTTCCTGTACCTGAGCATAGTCGACGGAACAGTACACCGACCTAATCAGGAATAACGTCAAAAGTCGACAATGAACCCCCAATTTGGTTAGACAGTATGGGCTATTCTGTTTCAGGCAAAGCGCGGTCTTCTGGGTAAAAGTTGGTGCACGTGTCTACCTTCTTCCCTAGGCGGTAGCTTTTATGGCAGGCGGTAGACAATGGCAGATCATCAGTTGCTGATAACAATTTTTTTCTAATAATCAGTTTGGACTGAGAGGATACGGCGTGGTAATTCCGATTTTTCTCTGCACCCTCTTTTTATGGGATTCATCTTTGCTCAGTCTGCTTTTAACAATTTGAGTCTTGCTACCAACTCTAATAGCAGACGGCAGAGTCGACAGAATCTCCCTGCTCCGTTGTGAGCATCACCCCCAGTGGTTGACCCTACGCAGAAGAGTCTACATCAGAATGCCACGCAAGGCAATTGATTCGCGCATTCCCGCGCTCATTCGGAATAATGTACAAGAGAAGAAAAGAAGCTTCTTTGTGGTGGTCGGCGACCGCGCCAAGGATGTGATTGTCAACCTGCATTACATTATGTCCAGCGTCGATGTCAAGCAGAATAAGTCGGTCCTCTGGGCATACAAGAAAGACCTCCTCGGATTCACAAGCCATCGGAAGAAGCGCGAAGCGAAGATCAAGAAGGAAGTCAAGCGAGGAATCAGAGAACCTAACCAGGAGGATCCCTTCGAACTGTTCATCACCCTCAACCAGATCCGATATGTGTACTACAAAGAGACGGAGAAGATTCTGGGTAATACCTACGGAATGTGCATTCTCCAAGATTTCGAAGCTATTACGCCGAACCTGCTTGCCCGCACCATCGAGACTGTCGAAGGAGGTGGTATCGTGTTGCTTCTGCTCAAGGGAATGAAGAGCTTGAAGCAGCTCTACACTTTGTCGATGGATATTCATTCCAGATATAGGACCGAAGCGCATGATGATGTGGTCGCCCGCTTCAACGAGCGCTTTATCCTCTCTCTTGGCAGCTGTGATTCATGCTTGGTGGTTGATGATGAGTTGAATGTCCTTCCAATCTCTGGTGGGAAGAACGTGAAGCCTCTCCCACCGCCAGAGACCCTTGACGACAACACAGGCACGAAGAAGGAATTGAAAGAGATCAAGGATAGCTTAGCAGACACTCAGCCAGTGGGCTCTTTGGTCAGTCTAGCTCGCACTGTTGACCAGGCAAAGGCGTTGTTGACCTTCGTCGACGTGATCGCTGAGAAGACCCTCCGCAGCACCGTCACCTTGACCGCTGCTAGAGGTCGGGGAAAGTCGGCAGCTCTTGGTGTTGCCATCGCGGCAGCGGTTGCTCATGGATACAGTAACATTTTCATCACGTCCCCTAGCCCGGAGAACTTGAAGACCCTGTTTGAATTCATCTTCAAAGGGTTCGATGCTCTTGGATATCTCGATCACGTTGATTACACCATCCTTCAGTCCACCAACCCGGACTTCAATAAGGCTATTGTGAGAGTCAACATCCATCGCCAGCATCGTCAGACCATTCAGTATATTCAGCCCCAGGATGCACATGTTCTCGGCCAGGCGGAGCTTCTAGTCATTGATGAGGCAGCAGCCATCCCTCTGCCCCTAGTGCGCAAACTGATGGGCCCATACCTGGTATTCATGGCATCCACTATCAATGGTTACGAAGGCACTGGCCGATCGCTCTCCCTGAAGCTGATCCAGCAGCTTCGCGAGCAGTCCAGGGGTGGTCCGAAGGCCAGCGGTCAGGACGATACAGATATCGCTGATAGAGCCACTGGCAAGGCTGCCAAGGGCGCAGAGAAAAACTTGGGTGGACGCTCGCTTAGAGAGATTACTTTGTCAGAACCTATTCGTTACGCCCCTGGGGATTCAGTGGAGAAGTGGCTAAACAAAGTCTTGTGCTTGGATGCGACGCTGCCAAAGTCCAAGATCAACACACAGGGCTGCCCACACCCGTCACAATGCCAACTCCTCCAAGTCAACCGAGACACATTATTCTCTTTTCACCCGGTCTCGGAAAAGTTCTTGCAGCAGATGATGGCTCTGTACGTTGCCAGCCACTATAAGAACACTCCCAACGATCTCCAACTGATGAGCGATGCGCCTGCGCATCAGCTCTTCGTGTTGGTGCCCCCCATAGACGAGGACGCTACCAAGCTTCCTGAACCTCTCTGCGTCATTCAAGTTGCTCTGGAGGGTCGTATTAGCAGACAAAGTGTTCTGAACAGCTTGAGCCGTGGCCAACGGGCCGGTGGCGACTTGATCCCCTGGCTTGTCAGCCAGCAGTACCAGGATGAGGACTTTGCCAGTCTCTCCGGCGCCCGAATTGTGCGCATTGCAACCAACCCAGAATATATGAACATGGGTTATGGATCCCGCGCTCTGGAGCTTCTGATTGATTTCTACGAGGGCAAGTTTACGGATCTCTCCGAGAAAATTCCTGACGCGCAGGAAGAGATGGTCAGGGTCACTGATGAAGAGCTCGCCAACTCATCTCTCCTTGATGACAACATCCATGTTCGGGACATCCGCTCTATGCCCCCTCTGTTCGGC